GAGGCTTCGACCTATTCCCCGGGAATGGTTTTTCATCCTGAGCCGTTTTTGACAGTCCCGAGGCCCGGCAAGGGCCCCCAGAGACTGAAAAAATTGCGAACAATCCCCCGTCGTGATTTTTTCAGGGCTCGAGGGGTCTGTTCCACCACCGTGCTCGTCTTTCTTCCCCTTCTCCGCCTCCGCCTTCACCACCACCTCCTCCTCCTCCTCCTCCTCCTCCTCCTCCTCCTCCTCCTTTCTTTCGTGCCAACTCCGTTCGGCTGGATCGGCGCAAGAGCATGGACCGCCCACGGTGCGCCTCATAGTTTTCGTGCGTAGTCGTCGGCTCCCGGGGGTTTTCCAGCCTCGGGGCGCTTTCCAGCGACTGCGCCTCGCCGAGGGCGTTCCAGCGGTGCCCGGATCGTCCCGAACGGCCGCCAGAGATCCGAGCTATGACCCGAAAGCCAGACGACGCGGGGGGATCCCATACATCCAAGGGATCGGCGCAAGATCAGTTCGGCATGAGAATGAGGGGTTCTGGATGAAGTCGGCTGCACGTGACCCTTCGCTGGAGTGTCCTCGATGGGCGCGCAGGACCGAACCCAAACACGCAGGCCGCGACTGTCGCAACGGTCAGCAAGCCTTGCAACCAAAGGCAACTCTTGCTTAGGGTCGGTCTTGCGTGCAGCCGAGCAAAGGAGTCCTGAGGTGTTTCTCTGCTCTCGGGCTCCAGGGGCCCTCCCGGGTGCCTTCCAGAAGCGACGCCAGATGACTGGCGCAGAAAAGCGGGCTCGACTGTGCCTACATGCGCACCTAAGCTGCCCGCGTAAAGTCGCGCGACAGCGTACTCGTTTCCAGCGTGGCGTACCGCGCCGGCGGCCCGCGTGAGCTGCGGCGTAAGGTCGCCATGCCATCTCGCGTGAGATCCGATTCTGATCGTCCCGGGGTGAAGCCCCGGGGTCAAGTACCCGTTTCCGCCGGGAGCGTCTCTCTTCTCCCGATGCCGAGCAGTAGAGCGGCGGCCAGCCTCTCGGGGCAGCAGTTGTCGGCGGCGCGCACGTTGGGGGGGGGGGCGCGAGGGGGGCTGCCTTGCACGAGCCAGCAGGCGTCCTGACCTGCTTGCAGGCCCACCAAAAGGATTTGCACGAAATGTTCTTCGAACACACGTGGCTCTGACAGTTGTAGTGGAACACACCGGCTGCAGGGTCCAAGAATTGTGTTTGTGCTAGCGGCACGTTCTTGTTATTCTAAGAACAGTTGGCAATACGGTCCATCTTTGCTCAATACGAAGGCAGGGAGAATCAATCCCCCGAGCCCTCCCGCCTTCTGGGAAGCCTTCGCGCCAACGTAATCAGAAGGCCCGCTGCTGCCGTCATGCCGTCGGGCTGACTCTTCGTCGTCGGATCCTGCGGGAGGTGCACGGCTGCTCCGTACTGCTGCACAGGAAGCCATGCATCGCGCGGGCGCCCATCACAAAAGGTATGGCCCGTGCGAGGAAAGCGCCTGGGAGGAAGGGGGCCGCGCCAGGGGGGCTGCATTGCAAAAGGGCACCCCAAGTTTCGTGCGTTCTTGCAGGCCTGTGCCACGAGCTTGAGCATGTCTAAAAAACCGCACCGTCTTTGGAGACCGCCCCTCTCGCACTGCCCCGTCCTGCGCGCCGCCGAAACAGCTAGGGGGAGGTACCTGGGATTCCGTGCTTCTTACCAGGAAACTGAATACTCCTGATGTGCCATGGCTCGGCGAGAACTGCACACATGTGGCCGCATCTATGCACTTCCAGCGCTGGGCCATCGTGAGAATGGACACGCCAGCCATCTGCACGCCAGGGAATACAACTAGGCGGCGATGGTATACCCAGGTCTGCGTTGAGGGGGAGGCGTAGAAAACTACAGAAACCTTTCAAGACAACCAACAAGCATTCCAACAGCCCACCACTTCCCAAACAGTGCTTTCCAGCCCTGGCACTGACCCACGCCCACGCCCGGGCGCGCCGCTGCAAATGCGGTGGCGTTGCAGCTGCCTATCGCTGGCGGGCGCCAACGCGCCCGCACTGCGCGCGGCGCCCGCGCATGGTGCGCGATGTATTCCCCTCGCCGCGCACGCGGCCGCTCGCCCGATGAGCCCGCGAGGGAGGCAGTGGAAACTGTGTGGAGCATTCCAGGGGCTCTTACTTTCGTGTCTGAGCAATTGGTTTGCACGTCGTGGCTGGCGACCGAGCTCTCGCCCCGTGCCCGCCTCGCGTGCCCGCCCCGTGCGCCGCCCTGGCGTTTCGGGGCGCCTCGGTGCCCGCCTCGAGCCTGCCCCCTGCGCTGGCTGGCGCCTCCGAGCGTTCGCCTGGCGCCTCCGGATGTTCGCCTCGCGCCCGCCCGTGCCCCCCTCGCGCCCAGCCTCGTTCGTTCGCTGGCGCTTCCGGGGCCCGCCCGTGTCCACCTCGTGCCCCGCCTCGAGCGTTCGCTGGCGCTTCCGGGTTCACGCAGCTGGCAGCACACGTGTTGTGCCACTTGGATTGCGCCACAGAGCATGCACCATCTTGCACCCCACAAGCTCGTGTTCTTGAAGGCACACGGGACTGCACTCCGACCGATGCCCGAGTGAGCCGCCCTCATCCGCGTCTCGCTCAGTCTGAGTATCGAATATCACCATGCCAGCCCCTTTCACCGCGGCCTGCGGACTGATCTCCTCCCTCTTCCCCTGCGGACAGTAGCGGTCCTGCTCTGCCATCCCTCTCCCATACATAAAAACTCTTCCTTGTCCTCCGCAGCAGGTTTAAGGATGGAGGGCGGATTGTTGTCATAATGTGGCTCCCATCGTTGTTGACATGTTGAAATAGCTTCAGAGATGGAGGACGGGTCGTCTTCGAAATGTAGCTCTCGCCTCAACGCTGCGCACATTCGCCTCAAGAGTTTGCAACAGCGTCAGGAATCCGTAGGGCTGAAGTCCCTGGAACGGCGTTCTGGCACGATTTAGCAATGTCAGGACGCAAAATGAATTTGGATACACAATTCTGAAGCCCCAGGAATGGTGTTCTGGCACGACTTAGGACCGTCAGGACGCAATAGTCACGTTGATTCGCGGCGCTGAAGTCCCAGGAATTGTGTTTGGGCACGGTTGAGGATTCTCAGACGGTTGTCTTTCCATGGGGCACTCCTCGCAAAAATCAAATATTCTTGTAGGGACAGGAGCAGGGACTTTGCAGGGAGGGCCCATGGCAAGATGGTTGATGCGTCTTGGATTTACACTGGTTCTCCTCCTCCTCCTCTTCCTCCTCCTCCTCCTCCTCCTCCTCCTCCTCCTCCTCCTCCTCCTCCTCTTCCTCCTTGCCCCCCCCCCCTGCTCCTCCACACCCTCCCTGTCCGTCCGGCCTGCACCCGCGGAGGCCAGCCCGCTGGGCAGCAACATTCGCGACCAGGACGGCGGGGCGCGGGCGCCTCTTGCGGCCCCCGCTCTGCGCCGCTCGCTCGGCTGCGGTGCAGGAGATGGGTTCGGGTTCCTGGAAGCAGTCAAAAGTGTGGGGGTAAGGACCACCGTGGTTTTGGAAGGGGCCTTCCTCGGGCGCTCCCTCGCAGGTGCTCCTCAGAAGTCCGGGCGTGGTTGGAGCCAAGGGGGGGCGTGGCTCCATACCGAGAGGACCTGGTGACAAGACTTTGGCTGTAAACGCGGAGGGGGCGGGATCGGGTGGAGGATGGGATGGGGCTGCCTTTCGCTAGCGCGGGAGCGTGGATCGCGAGGGGGGTGGGTTCAGCCCGTGTGGAGGAGCCGAAACTGGCTGTCGGGAGTGCGTCACGTGGAAATTGTTGTTTACAAGTCACTAGTGATTACGAGCGCGCACCCAGTGCGATGAAAAACGGGTGGCACCGCGTGGCGCGGGTTCTTGATGCGCCGCCAGTCAAACCAAGGCGCTCCCGGCATTGTAAAACATTCCCGAGCACCATCAGAAGGCTCTTGCGGCCACTCCAGAAGTAGCGCGGCGCGGCGAATACCACCATCTGGGCGCCAGCGGCGGATCTTTGCCTCGGCGACGCCAAGACGCGCAGCTGTTGGAATACTTGTGATGTGCAGCCCCCAAGCATTTGCTGCAGGAAGCCCCGCAGGAAGCCTTCGCGAGGAGTTGCCCACTGCGCTGCTGCGGCAACGTGTCTGGCGGCCAAAGTGGAAGCCAGCGTGTTGACGTGCGCGGGCGGAGGCGGCTATCAACCGAGAGTCCCATGCACCCGTCAACGTTGAAAGGGCCATTCGGCGACGAGCGCCCAATACGCTTATCAACTTTGAAAGGACCGCTTCACCACGCCGCATCACGAAATTGCGACGAGACCCGTAGGGCAATTCTTGCGTGTAGCCGAGGGCCTACCAGTGTGCCGTCTGCGTCTCTGAATATACTTCCCCGCCAGACGGCGTGGCCTTTTGTGTGGAGGTAGACTCGATGAGGGCGACATGGTTGCTGATGTGTTGCACTGAATGTCTTGGCGCGCATGCAATCCACAAGCTGACCGCGCAAGCGAAGGACGAGAGAATGAACGTACGAACGCTCGATCTTCGCGATGCCGCAGTCCTACGCATGTCAGTTCAACTGTGCGTGCATGTGCCTTGGTGCGTGTGCGTGTGTTGTATTGTGTGTTGTGTGCGCGCGCGTTTGTATGCGAGTGCGCGCGCAGGTGTGCTCGCATGTTCGAAATACTATCGGAGGTCACGGATGCGCCAGCACTTGCTACCCTTTCGCTATAATGAAAATCTTGGAGGCCTCGCGCGGCGCACATAGTTGTACCATCTAGTCTACCCGTCGGCTCCGTAAGGTATGGGTCGACGTTCGCGCGGCGATGATCTGGCGTAAGTCCGACGTGAATCCGACGCAGATCGAACGTGTTCCGTCGTGAACCCCACGTAATTCCGGCGTGGATCCGACGTAAATTGGGTCTCGAGCTGCCGCGCGAGGCCTCCAGGAGTTTCTTCAGAACCTCCGTGCGAAAACCAGCTGCGCCTGCCCGCTTGGTAGGAACGCCGATGCCCCATCCTCGTCGCGCGAGAGAGGGGCGCGGCGCGCTCGAGGCTCGCGCCGCACCCGGAGCGTGCACCCGTGCGCGTGGCGATGGCGGGCGTGGCCCACAGGGAGGGCGGCACCCTGGCTTCCACCGGCCTGGCCGCGATCGGGTCTGGCAGGATCGCGGGTTCGCAGGAAATTCGTCGTCGTCCTCGTCGTCGTCCTCGTCGTCGTCGTCCTCGTCGTCGTCCTCGTCGTCGTCCTCGTCGTCGTCGTCGTCCTCGTCGTCGTCCTCGTCGTCATCCTCGTCGTAGTCGTCGTCAGGGGCCAGGGCCAGGCCTGGTAAGGCTTCGGGCTGCGCACCGCAGGCCCCCCTCCCCCCGGGCACGTAGCCCCAGCTGGCCTCCGCAGGCCCCCGGAGAAGTAGTCGGGGGCGGTCTCAGCACAGTGGCGCCTCCTCCTCCTCCTCCTCCGACTGCTCCTCCTCCTCCTCCTCCTCCTCCTCCTCCTCCTCCTCCTCCTCCTCCTCCTCCTCCTCCTCCCTCCTCCCTCCTCCGCCTGCTCCTCCTCCTCCTCCGCCCTCCTCCTCCTCCTCCTCCTCCTCCTCCTCCTCCTCCTCCTCCTCCTCCTCCTCCTCCTCCTCCTCCTCCTCCTCCTCCTCCCGCCTGCTCCTCCTCCTCCTCCTCCTCCTCCTCCTCCTCCTCCTCCTCCTCCTCTCCTCCTCCTCCTCCTCCTCCCTCCTCCTCCTCCTCCTCCTCCTCTGCCTCCTCCTCTCCTCCTCCTCCTCCTCCTCCTCCTCCACCTCCTCCTCCCCCTCCTCCTCCTCCTCCTCCTCCTCCTCCCTCCTCCTCCTCCTCCTCCTCCTCCTCCTCCTCCTCCTCCTCCTTCTCCTCTGCCTCCTCTGCCTCCTCCGCCTCCTCCTCCTCCCTCCTACTCCTCCTCCTCCTCCTCCTCCTCCTCCTCCTCCTCCTCCTCCTCCTCCTCCTCCTCCTCCTCCTCCTCCTCCTCCTCCTCCTCCTCCTCCTCCTCCTCCTCCTTCCCTGGGGCCTGTTGAGACCAGCCAGGGCTACTTGGGGGGGCTGTCAACGACCAACCCGAAGCCTTACCAGCTGTCTCAAGGCGGGATTGGGGAGCGAGCCCAGCTGGATGCTCACATCCCCTCCTTCCAGGAGCCGTTTGGAGGGATTTTCCTCTAGCCCCACCTCTGCTCCTATCCCACCTCTACGTTCCCCCCCCCCCTCGGCAGGAGTCGACGTGGAGCAAACGGGTCCCGAGTGGAAGCGGGGGGGAGCACCGTGATATGTTATGGATGGATTTGGTAGTGCGTCGTGGGGTTCGGGTTTTCTTGTGGGTTCACAGCGGCTTTTCACGCCTCGGGGAATCCTTCCAGCAGCTGCGCCTCGCCGACAGCGGTCAGTGGAGGCCCAGATCGTCCCGAACGGCTCGGTATGAAGATCTAGTCCAGCGGGGAAGGCCCAGAGGTCCAGGACCCGTTGCCGTCGGGCCCTGCTGCATTCACCCTGAGATCTGGCGTCGCGAAAAATGTGCAACATCGTGGAAGATCACGGCCAGAGCCGCAGACCACATCTGCCTGCGGCATCTCCTCAACCAGACGGATCTGCGAGGGCCCCCATGGGCCCGAGTCCGGGCGAAAGCCCCCCCGGTTTTTGTTTTACGAAGAAGCTGCGACGCGAGGATCTCGGGGCACGCCCAAGGAGCTTCTCCGGCAGCCTCCACAGCACCGCCACGGCCTGCCCGAGGGACGCCGCCTCCGGAGGCGCGGCGCCCCGCCCGCAGCGAGGCCCCTGCGAGGCGCCCGACGTGCCGCCGCGGCTCGGCGGGGCCGCGGCGCCGCTGGCCAGCCCGCGGCGCGCCTTCCTGTCGAGGGAGATGCAGGAGGCGGACCTGAGGGCGCACGTGCTCTTCAAGGCGCGAGGATGAGGTTTCCCCCATCGCACTTGAGGGCCACATCGTACCTGAGGACCACATCCCAGAAACAGTTTCGAGCACCCAGAAAAGTGTCGAAACAGTGTCGAACGAGTATCGCCTCCCAGGGCCCGACACGCGAAGACCCTCAAGTTTCTGTACTCTCTTGGTGCTCGGAGCTCTTTCTGGTGATCAAAGCTAAAGTAGGTTAGAACGTCATAACGCGATGATTAAACTTCTGGCGGTCCGCGCGGACCGACGAAGGTGTATGTTTGTGTCGGTGCTTCCTCTTCCCCAGACCCCCGACGTCATGTTTTCTTCATGACGTCGACCCCCAGAGATTTCGACCCCTTCCCCTGGACCTGTTTTCATCCGGAGTCGTTTTCTGACGGTCCCGAGGACTGGTAAGGGCCGCCAGAGGCCGAAAATAGCGAAAAACCTCCCGTCATGATTTTTTCATGACTCAGCGCAGGCGCAGCAAGCTCAGGACATCTTGAGCTCGCCTTCGAGCGGGCCAGGGAGGCAGCGCTACTTTGCGAACGCGTCTGCCAACCGGCCCTACGAGCTGGAGCTGGACCGCTGGAACCACGAGGCGAGGCCTGCCGGCAGCGGCGAGGACGCGGACGACGACGAGGAGGAGGCGTCTGGCCGCGCCGCCTTCGAGCAGCTGAGCTGCCTCACCGGGCGCTAGCTGGAAGGAGAAAAGACGGCAGGAGCATAAACTTTCAGCGCTCCGCGCGGATTTCGTCACCCCCCTCCCTGGCGCGCGGAGCGCGCCAGGGGCGGCGCCGGTGGCGCCGCCGGGGGAGTCCAGCACGGATCCAAGAGATCCGCGTGGAGCGCCAAGAGTTTACACATTGTTCGTTTCTAAGTATTCGAAAGTTCTTGGATTTTTGGGGGGCCAAGATCCTAATATTTCTAGTTGTCCTATCCTGGGCCTCTTCCTGGCCACAAGGGGGCCAGGAACAGTTAGAAACGAGCACAATTAGAAATGAGCACGATTAGAAATGAACGACGTGTATGTTTATGGCGTTCTCTCTTCTTCGATGATCGCCAGTCTATCCGCGGCCCGGGCGGCGGCGTGAGCTGGACGCCGGTGCGGGGGCTCTGCGGGGTGCTGGTCCGCAGGCGCAGGGCTCGCTGCGACGCCTCCGATGCGATGCGACTCGACGTCGATGGCCTCCGCATCCGAGTCGATTCGAATTCGGATTCCGATTCGGGCTCCGATTTCTCGATGGAGGCCCACGAGCCTGCCGACTTCCGCCGACTCGACTTTTTCCCGACCTGGCTGCCGCTTTTTCCGCCGATCCGATCCGTGTCGATCGCCGGTCCGACTCATCGATTCGATCCTTGGGCTCTCTCCTGGCAGGCGCGACGACCCCACGGGCGCCATGCTGTGGCTGCCCGAGGCGGGCCCGAACCTGCTGCTGCAGGCGCGGGCGGGCGGGCCCTGGGAGCTGCTGCAGGTCGCCCGGCTGCGGCGGCAGAGGGTGATCGTCGACCGGGCGCCCAGGATCGGCCCCCTGAGGGGTGCGGTGACCACACCGCGTGGTGAGTCAGTGGGGATTCGGCGCCTCGGGAGGAGGAGGAGGAGGAGGAGGAGGAGGAGGAGGAGCGAGGAGGAGGAGGAGGAGGAGGAGGAGGAGCGAGGAGCGAGGAGGAGGAGCGAGGAGGAGGAGCGAGGAAGAGGAGGAACAAGGAGGAGCGAGGAGCGGGGGCGTTCCACAGATCGAGCCCCCAGGGGTCCATCTGGATCCGTCTCTCGAGCTGCGCCAGGGCGCCAGCTGCGGTGACCACACCGCGGGGTGACCGCACGGTTTTGGGACTCGGGTCGTTCTCCGGGGACATCTCGGGCGACCAGCCGAGCTTCCAGGGGCCCAAGACCGTGCGGTGACGGACCGCGCGGTGAGGTCTCTTGGGGTTCCGAGGCCACCGCGCGGTGCGTCGCCGCACGGCTGTGGGGCCCCACACAGGACCAAGTACAATCAAGACCTGGACTTGAACACCTACGTGGAGGTGGCCGCAGTGGACCACCAGCTCGAGGCAGCCCTGTCGAGGGAGGCCGACCCACACCTCACGGAGAGGTGGCTGGAGGCCGCAGCCGACCTGAGGGGCCTCTGGGAGAAGGACTGGAGGCCCCTGCGGCAGACGTCCGCCTTCGAGCTGGCGCAGTCCAAGTTCCGCTACCACCCCGACAACAAGCTCGGCGGCGCGCACTGGGGGGGGGGGGGGGCGCGAGGGGGGCGCCTTTCTGAGACGGCGGGGGGGGCTTCCGAGAAGGCGTGGGGGGCTTCTCAGAAGGCTCCAGACCCAGACATCTGGCGTCTGGGAGAATCGAGGCGGCGGTGTTTCCTCGTGTTCGACCTCGAGACCGGCAAAGCACGCCGGGATGAAAAGCGGGTCTTGGGGAAGTGGCCGAGAGGTTCGGGGCCCGTGTCTCGAGAAGATCGAGACGCCGGATGTCTGGGTGGCATCTGCGAAAGCTTCGTGCGAGCCGGCAGGGCTTCTGAGAAGCCCCCCGCCTGCGCAGAAGGTCGCCCCCCTCGCGTCGCCCTCCTCCCTGAGATCCGACGTCGCAGAAATACGCGCGGCATCGCCGAAAATCACGGCCGGGACCCTGGACCCCATCTTGCGGCGGCATCGTCTTGGGCTGCGTCGGGTTGCCAGGGCCCCGGGGCCCGAAGCCGAGCGAGAGCGCCCGGCTGACAGGGAGCGGCGGCGCCAGGGTCTCGGGGCCACGCGCGCGCCGCCGGCAAAGCCCACCGACGCCTTCCGGGGCTGCTACGGCGAAGAGCGCTGGCAGTGGTGCTGGGAGGATCGGGATGGGCCTCCTCCTCCTCCTCCTCCTCCTCCTCCTCCTCCTCCTCCTCCTCCTCCTCCTCCTCCTCCTCCTCCTCCTCCTCCTCCTCCTCCTCCTCCTCCTCCTCCTCCTCCTCCTCCCATCTTTACCCAACTTAAGCCCAACGGGGCTCAAATCATCAGGGAGACGGACAGCAGTGCATGTCCCATTTGAGCAGGACTGGCCGTCGGCGTCGCCGCGGACGTGGTCCGTGTGGGCCCAAGAGACGCCTGCACAACAGCGGCGGCCGATGGTTTGGGAGAGGATCTGCTGCTGGGCATCGCCCCAGATATCTGGCGCCTCAATCTCTTCGAGGCGCGAGCCCCCGACCTCTCGACCACGTGCCCCAGGCCAGTTTTTCATCCCGAGTCGTTTCTTCGGGCGGGCCCAGACAGTGTGGTGACACCGCGGGGTGGGTCAGCAGGGATGCGGGGTCGCCGCACGGATTCGGGACTCGCGGTCGTTCTCCGGAGCCGTCTCTGGCGAGCAGGGCCTTCGGGGTCACAGGACCGTGCGGTGACGGACCGCGCGGTGAGGTCTCTGGGGAGTTCGAGGTCGCCGCGCGGACCGTCACCACACGGTTTCGGGACCCCCGATTTTGACGGCCCCGAGGCCCAGTAAGGGCCCCGAGGGGGTGAACGCGATGACAAATTTCCGCCCCGATGATTCGAGACGCCCCAGAGATGTTTGGGACGCTGCCCAACACCAGAAATCTGACCCAAAACCCACATCCGCCGGTGTTGTGCAGGCGACGATTGGCCCCACATGGACCACGTCCGCGGCGACACCGACGGCGAGTCCTGCTCAAATTGGACATGTACTGCTTAAGTCGGGCATGTCCCCCTACAGGAGGAATACCCAAAAATAGTCAAAGAATTGTCTCGGGACGATTTATCTGTTATTATTTGACAATGTTTGAATATGTTTGATTATGAGTTACTCATCTTCCAAAATCCGCCTGTAGGAGGACATGCCCGACCTAATGCTGCCCGTCTTCTGGATGCATGGGGTGCCCTATTTTTCCCATGTTTCTTGCTGGCCTGCTGAGGAGGACGGCCGCGGCGCCTTGGTGGTGCGCAACCGCCTCTGGCCAGAGGACGCCCGGCTCTGGCTGGCGGCTGGCGAGGTCTCCTACCAGCGGGGCTCCTCCCAGAGGTCGGGCGGTGCAAATCGGCCACCTCTCGAAGAAGAAACAACGCCATATAAATAAATGTGTGGCGCTCCGCGCGGATTTTTTGGATCCGCGCTGGGCCCCCCCAGCGGCGTCTCTGGCGCCGCTCCTGGCGCGCTCCGCGCGCCAGGGAGGGGGGTCCCACGCAGATCCAAGAAATCCGCGCGGAGCGCCAAACGTTTATGTTTATGGCGTTTGTTCTTCGAACCTCACCGATCATGCTGGGACCCATCCTTGGCCCTGGATAGCGTGTCGCTCCGCCGGTTCTGGTCCGACGAGTTGCGGCGCGACACCCTATCCACTTCCCGGTCCCCAAGCGTCAACGTCCAGAGCGTTTCCCCAGCCTCCGGCCCAGCGGAGCGGAGAGACACGCTCCCTCAGCCTGCCAGGGACAGCGTGTCGCCGGGGCCGCCGCCGCGACGTGCTGAGCAGGAGCTCTCGACCGTATGGCCACACCTCTGGGCTTCGCGGCCCGTCGGTCCAGCGCAGTGAGGGCAGGAGCGGGACAGGTCAGACCGACGAGACGGGTGCGAGTGGAAAAGTGTCCGAGGCCACGCGCGGCGCTGGGGCCCTCACAGAATTGTGCCGGATGAGCAGCCAGCCGTGGGAAAGGTTCGGGACTTCTAGGGACCCGGTATCGAGAGAACAAAGAACTACCTAAACGTGTGGGTGCAGTCAAGGCGGTGGAATAACCCCTTGGGGCTCAGCAGGCGCTCTGGTTTTTGGCTCGCTCCTGAGATCTGGGTCGGGGAGCCTTGTCGTTGCCGAGGCCGAAGGGACCAGGACCCGAACGGATCCTTCATCTCTTGCTCAGTATTCCTGATGGTTGCGCGATGGCTATGCGCCCCCCTGCCTTTGCCAGGGAGGCGTTTCACATTGGTCCCTGGCCCAGGATCGGCCTGGCCAGTATCGGTGAGGTCGTCAGTTCTTGGGACCCCGGCGCTGCAGCTGCTCCGCCCCACGCGTGCTCGCCTGGATTCGGGCCCCGGGGCCTTTGCAGATCGGTCCGGCCCAGGAAATACCACGGCAAGATGGGGTCGAGTGCCCTGGGCTGTACTGTCTCACGATGTCGTAGTTGTTCGCGACGCCTGATCCTGTGGAACCGGGTGTCGCATCGGCGATGCATCGGCGATGCGGCGCGATCCTCCGACCGCATCTGCTCCGCCCCATCTAGGAGGCCCAGAGAGGAGCGGTGGGACTCTGAGGGGGGAGGCGCGAGGGGCGCGGCGTTCTGAGGAGGCAGGAGGGGGGCTTCTTAGAAGCCCTCCCAGCCTCGTGGAGGCCGCGTCGCCTCCGTCGCCTTCCAAGAAGCCCCCCTTCCGCCTTCTCGGAAGACCCTCCGCCTTCCCACTCGTGACGTCGGGTCTCCGGGGTTGGCGTCGCCCGGAGAGGCTGGCCTGGGCTGCGGACGGCTCCGGGCGTTGAGAGCCAGCCCCGCCGCCGTCGCCGTCGCCGAAGGAGGGGGAGTTGGAGAAGGGAGCAGCAGCACAACGACGACTGGAGAGAAGGAGGAAGAGGAGAACGACGAGGAGGCGGACGACGACGATAAGGGAGGAGGAGCAGCAGGATGAGGCAGAGGAGGGCGACGACGACGACAGCGTGCCATCCACACCCATCTGGTAGGACGCTAGACGCGCAAAGCGGCCGCCCGCTTCAAGAGTGAGAGGGTCGGCACCACGCTCGCGCCCAGCTTGTCGGTCTGCCGCCTTGAGCCCTGGAGAAAAGGAGCCCGTCCCCTACGGTGCCAGGGTTGCGACAGGGCTGGACCTAAACGCTGTTTTGCTGGACGTTTAGGTCCAGCCCTGGTCTGCGAGGGAGGGCGCGCAGTGGCGCGGAGGCCGAAGCTTGGGCCCCGTGCTGCTGCTGCACATGCTCCTCCTGGGCTCCAGAAGCATGGGGCGCGAGTCTCGAGGGAGCGGATGGGCCTGCTCCTGCTCCTCCTCCTCCTCCTCCTCCTCCTCCTCCTCCTCCTTCTCCTCCTCTTCCTCCTCCTCCTCCTCCTCACATCCTCCTCCTCCTCCTCCTCCTTCTCCTCCTCCTCCTCCTCCTCCTCCTCCTCCTCCTCCTCCTCCTCCTCCGGCTCCCTCTCTCCCTCCCTCCCTCTCCTTCTGGCTCAGACCTTGCTCGACGTTCTGGCAGAGCGCTTTCCCAGGCCCAGGTCTCGCAGGGCGCGTGACCTTACAGGAGCCATAGCCGCATCTGCATGCTTCCACGAAGTGCGGTGCCCTAATCGTTCTCGCTTTGCCATTGTTCCGCTCTTCTCGTTCCGTCCAACCGCCCTCATGATCTGGCCGTCAACGACTCGATCTCCTGACCCAGATTCGCCGACGCACGTTCAGCGAGCATCGTTTGAATGAGTGGCGTGTGCTGGCTGTCTTCTGTTGGACGCGTACGCTGACGGTAATGCAAAAAAACTGATGCAGGTGCAAGCGGTGCGTGGATCGGACTTGTAATCGCTTTCTGCGGCCAGCACAAGCGGCCGCCGATAGCATTCAGAGGGCACTGATTGGCGCCCTCGCCTTCGCTGCCAGGTCACACCGAGCAATCTCGTCGTTTGCTCTCCGTGTGCGGCGCGCAAGAGAGGGCCTCGCCTGCGCGGGATCGAGAGGTTGGCATCGCTTTTGTCGGCGGAAGGCGACAGAAGCTCGGGGGGAGCCGGCGGAAGGAGAGCGGCAGCGGGCCCGTTGGTGGAAGGCTCAAGGAAGCAAAAGTCGCCCACCCAACGGATGGCGTTTCTTTAACATCCAGGGTTTCCGGAACGAGCCATGCAACGGCCAGCCCAGGCAGGGGCTGGCGGCGGGGGTCCCCCCGAACGCGGTGGTCGCACGTTCGCTTGCCATGCGCCCGGCGTGGCGCCCTCCCTGCTCCCCGCCCCTTGCCCAGGCGCGGCAGCGCTGGCTCGTTCCTGCTTCCTTTTCGCGCTCGTCCCCCCCAACCCCCCCATTTTGGTCTCCGCTGTCGTCCCTCCCCTCCTCCCCCCCCCGTTCCCAGACCTCCTCGCGCTGTGGAAAAAAATTCACGGCGGGAGGCGTTTCGCTAGTTTCGGCCTCTGGGGGCCCTTCCCGGGCCTCGGGACCGTCAAAGAACGACTCGGGATGAAAAACGGGTCCCCGTGAACAAAGTCAGACCTTTGGGCGTCGACGTTGTGAAAAATAACGACGTCGGGGGTCTGGGTTCCCCTCCCGCCGTCCCTCCATGCCTCCCGGCTCCTGCTTCTGCGCCGCCTGCTGCCGTTTCTGCCTTCTGCTGCTTTTCGGGCGAGCAAACCCATGCACCGACATGCTTCCCAAAGCTGATCGGACCCCGAAGGAACCGCCCCCCAATGCGAAAGGGCGCGTGGAGCACCATGAATTGCGCGCCCCCCCACGGCGTGTGAGACGCCTGCGCCTCCCTTAGACAGCACACCGTGCGCGTTACTTCCAGGGACCGACGCAGCGCACCCACGCGCGGACAGGTGTGATCGGCATCGGATGTCCGGTTGGGCTCTTCCTTGTTGACCGACCGCGTGGGTGCATGGATTTCCGTCGCCTTAGAAAGTGCGAATCCATGCACCGATGCGGTTTGGAGGCTTTCTGTGGACAGGGCGACGGGCCTCTCTGGGTCCGACGGAGTTGCTTGGCCCCCCGTCCGCCGCGTGCGCGTGGTTACGTGGGCGCGTCGTGGCAGGGCGCCAGGGTTCTTGGGAGCCGCTGATGATATGTTTCGTGGCCTCCCTACGAATCTCGTCTCCGGCTCTAACGGAACTGCCTGATGCAGTGGAACTTGTTGCGGCCATGTCGGTGAATGGAGATGTTCCCCCGAATTGCCCGCCGAGAGGGGGGCCGGGGAGAGCCGGCCAGGATCTCAACGTCATCCTGTCCAGGACGCGGGGGGGCGAAGTGAGAGGAGGAGGGGGGAAGAAAGGGGGAGGAGAGAGGAGAAACAACATGGGAAGAGGAGAAAGGGAAGAAGGATAGGAGGAGGAGGAGGAGGAGGAGGAGGAGGAGGAGCAGGTGGGGGGGAGGGGGAGAGAGGAGGTAGGCAAGCTAGGTGCGCCCGCGCCATATCTGACACCTTACCCCTCCCCCCAATTCTTTCCCATTGCGCTGTTTTCTTCTCAATTCGCCGACGCTTGTCATAGCGGACCTGGAACTCCAAAGGGGGGCCTCATCGTGTCATGCGCAATTAGGAAAAGGGAGCTGCGTACATTGGACGAGGACGTGGCGGGTGAGCAGGAGAAAAAGGAGGAGGATGAGGAAGGACGAGGACGAGGACGAGCAGCAGCAGCAGGAGCTCGAGTGGAAAGAGTGGGGAAGGAGCAGGAGGACCAGGGGAAGGCGAAGGAGGGGAAATGAGGGGGACGACAAAGATGGAAAAGGGATCCAGAAAAGTTTCCCGGGCTGGAGCGAGAGCGCCATTCTGAACGACAGGAGCAAAGCGCCGATCCGAAAATGAGGCTTGCGCTGCAGCGGGAGCACCGTTTTCAAACGCCGAAAACAATCGCACTCTAAAGAATTATCCCAGTGCGACCCTACCTGGGAGTTGGAGCCCCTAGGAAAGCAGCATTAGTAGTAACAGTAAAGCTAAGCTGAAGCTAAGCTAAAGCTAAGCTAAAGCTAAGCTAAAGTTAAGCTAAAGCTAAAGCTAAAGCTAAGCTCAAGCTAAGCTAAAGCTAAGCTAAAGCTAAGCTAGAGCTAAGCTAAAGCTAAAGCTAAAGCTCCCAGCGGACTGGGGAACCGCTCCCAGGGGACTGGGGGAACCGCCCAGGGCGAGTTGCACTGCCCGGTCCCTTTAAGAAAGAGAGTAAGAACCCTTCGAGGCAGAGCCTAGGCAGGGAAAAAGACACTAGAAAGCACATGTGGCTCATCCTGTGCGTAATTTATATACATATATATATATATACATTGATCTATATATATATATATATATATATATATGTGTGTGTATATATAAAAAAGTGTGTGTAAATATAGATAAATGATAAAAATACAGTATATACATGCAC